GTAGTGACTAGAATTCTGTATACCATAATTCTATAAATTCAATGAAAACATTAGTTCATGCTCGTTTATCTTCAATGACAAATTTGATCACTTTCAGAGAAATTCACACTCAAAATGCAGAGAAAGTGTCGGTAGAGGAGAAAAGTTTACTTGTATTAAACTAAATTTATATGATAAACATAGCATTTAACATTACATTGACTGAAGCACTGACGCTTCAAACAGGCAGAGAACATATTTATTGAGCTTCTACAGTATCACCTCAAGCACATTTGAAGGAAAGGATAAACAAGATAAAAGAAAGAAAGAAAACCAATTGGAAGTGTTAGCAACATTCAAGCTAACACATAAGAAAGCGAATAAGGGTAAACCAGGAAGACCAAGCTATCTCTTTCAATAACAAACAGACAGAAACATCAAAGTTACTGAGTCTCCATTACCAAAATTGTTCCCCTTTGTCGTAGACTCATTATGGTTCCAATGTTCTGATCTGTTGCTTAATGTCGTTGGTATGCAACCGTGCCAAGGGCTCAGACAAAGGTGCTGTAGGGACTTCTCTGTTTGCTTGTGAGCTTAATTTGTTGTCTCACCACTAGCAAGTGCAAATGATTGAGGTTGATGATGAATTTGAGAAGGGATGGGATCCTGTTCAGTCTTACAATAAGTTGTATGTACTACTTGGTTTGCTGTTGGGACATTTCTGTTTGCTTGTGAGCTTAACTCAGGTACAGGTGGAGCTGCGACTCCAACCTCCTTCAAGTCCAGTTGGGGAGGGATCCCTGAAGCATTTGAATGCATTTGGGGCTGAGCAGAGGCAAATGATGAATGAACCAGACCCCATTGCATAGGGTAATTGCATTGCTGAGTCTGCGGAACAGGCAAATAGTACAGTGGGCAAGGCCCATTGGATTGATAATGGGACAGTTGTGGCTGGATCACTGGATGATACACCGGAATATAAGATGTCATTGGCAGTACACCACTTGCGTTCTGGGGCCCATAATGACTACCAGCATGAACAGTCTGCACATTTTGTTGCTGAGGCAGATTCAATTGTGGACTTGCAGCATACCCAGAAACTTGAACTGATGGAAGCAAATGGGTGCCAGAGGTAAGATCAGCAATTTTACTGTCTGATTCGTATGGGTTAGCAGATACCTTACTCTCCATTGCAGCAATTGGGACAACTGAATCTTGATGACGAGTTCCAGTCTGAGCACAAGACATGTAACTTGCTGAATTGCTAATGCTATCACTGCAGTTCGATGAAAAAAAAAAAAAGAAAGCTCTCAATCAATCACATAACAACCACCCTTGGGATTTCAACACAAAAGAACAGAAAACAAAGAGCAAAAATGCCAACCAAACCTCATAACCCTCTCAAACGCAACTATCACAAGATTGTAGTTTTCTCTAAACTAAAACTCAAACACCATTTCAAATGCTATGCCCCATAATTCCAGTGACAAGGAAAAAGGACTGCTAAACAAATATAAAGTATAATAGTATCCCAGAACTGACAAAAAAAAAAATTAAGAATTATACCTTGCAATTGATTCTGGTAGAGACAATTTGGGTTTACAATCCTGGAAACGCAGCCCATTCTCCTCACCAGTACCCTTGATTGGAGGCAAGTTCGAGAAAGAAACAGAGGACGAAGTAGACCCAAATTTTACATGAGCTACTTGGTTTGCTGTTGGGACATTTCTGTGTGCTTGAGAGCTTAACTCAGGTACAGGTGGAGGTGCGACTCCAACCTCCTTCAAAACCAGTTGGGGAGGGATGCCTGAAGGATTTGAATGCATTTGGGGCTGAGCAGATGATGAATGAACCAGACCACATTGCACAGGGTAATTGTATTGTTGAGTCTGTGGAACAGGCAAATAGTACAGTGGGCAAGGCTGATTGGATTGATAATGAGACTCTTGCTGCTGGATCACTGGATGATACACTGGAATATAAGATGTCATTGGCAGTACACTAGTTGGGTTTTGGGGCCCATAATAACTACCAGGATGAACAATCTGCACATTTTGTTGCTGAGGCATATTCAATTGTGGATTTGCAGCACACCCAGAAACTTGAACTGATAAATGCAAATGGATGCCAGAGGGAAGATCAGGAATTTTACTGTCTGATTCGTATGGGTTAGCAGATACCTTACTCTCCATTGCAGCAATTGGGACAACTGAATCTTGATGACTAGTTCCAGTCTGAGCACAAGACATGTAACTTGTTGAATTGCTAATGCTATCACTGCAGTTCAATGAAAAAAACAAAAGAAAGCTCTCAATCAATCACATAACAACCACCCTTGGGATTACAACACAAAAGAAAAGAAAACAAAGAGCAAAAATGCCAACCAAACCTCACAAAAAACGCAATTATCACTAGATTGCAGTTTTCTCTAAACTAAAGCTCAAACACCATTTCAAATACTATGCCCATAATTAATTCCAGTGACAGGAAAAAGGACTGCTAAACAAATATATAGTAGTATACCAAAACTGAAAAAAAAAAAAAATTAAGAATTATACCTTGCAATTGCAATTGATTCTCGTAGAGACAATTTGGGTTTACAATCCTGGAACTGCTGCCCATTTTCCTCACTAGGACCGTTTACTGGGTTCAAGTTTGAGAAAGAAACGGTGGACGAAGTAGATCCCAAAGAAGTACTCATCCCGAATGCAATAGACTCCTTCCCAGAGAGACTGATCCCTTCACCCTGGCCACCCCCACCACCCTCAGATGCCACCCCATTCTCTCCCTTCTGCACTACCAGGGGACAGGGCTTGACGGGGAAGAGGAACAACCGGATGCGAGGAAGATCAGGCAAGGCGGAAAGGCGTTCGCATTCCTCTAGCATAATTTGGAGATCATCGTCGTTAGCGATAGAGATTAGGGCATCGAGGTCGTGATGAGGAAGTTGATACCTAACCCTAAACGGCGTGTTGATTTGAAGGGTGGAGGCGAGATGAGCAGTGAGGCGGGAGACGGAGAGAGCGGTGGGGGACGGCAAGGAAACGATGCGGGTTTCGCCTCCTACGTAGCCTAGGGACTTGGAATGTGGTCCTACAATTACGTGGCCGGCGTAGCTGCACATGAGGCGCAGCTTAGCGCCGGAGCCAGCGGAGATGGGCGGTGG